TTTAATGCTACATACTCTTACTATTATAAATGCAAATGTATGGATGGACATTTGTTAGAAGGTATCTCCAGAACGACTTAACGTATATCGCTGAAATTTGGCGTAGATGTAGAACATAATCTGGAAGAACACATAGGCTACTTATTATGTTTTTTTAATTCCGCGCGGACTGAGTCGCGGCCGACAGCTACAAGATAAATACAATTCCTTAATATTCAAGACAAGCAAAATTATGTTGTAATTTGAATATTCCTTAAATCAATTTAATTTTCATTTCTAATAATATGAATTTCGTTGTTTTATAGGCTGGGACTTTACAAAATTAAATAAAAAATTAATAAAAATGAAATTGAATTCACAATCAGAGTAATTGGAAGCATTTGATGAGATTCTAATTACGAGTTCTAATTGACTTTCCCTTTGCTTATTCATTAAGCCAATTGAATCCGCCCGTTGCGTATTAGACTTTGAAGAGGTTGCTTAAGAGTATAGTCTCTTAAAATATATGAAGCTTATTTTAATTAATTACAATTATATTGTGAATTAAAATAAGAGATTTTAGTATACAGGGTGTCCCAAAAGGTTACGTACATAGGATGATAAGGGTGGTCACAAGGGTCATCAGAAAAATAAAATAAAAATTCCCCTCTAGGTATTAAAAAAATAAATGGCATTTTTAAAAACTTAAAAATTTTACACCTTCTGGGGCAATTTTAATTTTCTTTAAAATCTTTGTTAGTTGTATTGTTTTTTTTTATTTCATATTGATAGAGGATTATTAATGATAACATAACAGCTTTTTTTTCAAGATAGTGTGGGAGGTCTTCACTGCTGTCGATATTTGCGGGAAGAATAACACTCGAAGTCCAGATTTGTAATGATTTATTTTCTAATTTCTTAACTATTTATACAAATTATGTGCTACGTGCTTACTGGCTAAAATATGTACACCAATTAAAATTTAAGTTTTTCGACCAATCCGGAAGAGACACTAATTACTAGCTAATTACAATGAGAGTGAGTGAGAGGTGATTTTCTCTGTCACACATTCTTGCGTGTTCCGCAGAGATGGCGATATGCTGCTTATGACCTCCAATATCACTCCCCCTCAAGCGAAGCGTACGCTCTTCTTTACTACGCGACCCGATCTTGTTACGTAGGGATGGTTGGTAGCGAGCGTGTTACTTGATGTTGCTGTGTTTCTAGTTGCAGGTACCTCTTCCTTGTCTTTTTCACTCTCAACAGTATACGCGGGCTTCAATCTGTCCAGCGATATTACTGAAGTTCGCGTTGGAAGTTGAATTTTGAAATATTTTTCGTGTCGCTTTAAAACCTCGTATGGTCCGTCGTACGGCGGTGTGAGTGGTGAGC